AATTAATACATTAATTAAATTATTGTTTATTTAATCTCATTTAATAATTACCGTTTGATGATAAAATGAACGATCAAGATCGGTTCACATAGTTTGTACCATATGGTTGGTTTCTATTTGAACCAGCCCCTATATATATATATATATACACACACACACACACACACACAAGTATGTGTCTCGTGCGTTGCACGGTAATGATAATTCATCATCTCCTCCTATATAATAACTTTTTTCTTGTAAAAAATGATTCAACCTAAGGGGTTGTTTGTTTATCTCTTAATAGTTCTATTAAGAGGCTACCTCTTAATCATTAAGAGGTGAATCTTATTTGACAAAAAAAGTCTACCTCTTAATGTAACTAAAACCTTCTAAATGTTTTGTATTTTGGACTTCCCTTATCTATTCAGCGCCCTAATTTCATTCTAAACAATTACCGAACAATTGTATTTTCTTTTGTACTATATCATGAGAGCCTCTTAATCATTCTGATCACTTCTGCACCAAACCATTCAACAAATGTAAAATTAACAACCCCTAAATAAGCCAACTATATATTTTTAAACAAATATTTTTTCAGAAAAAGATGGTGGTTAAAATTTACATTTAACCAACCCCAACATTTCGCATTTCAATCCATCACCCCCCTCTTTATATACTCACTAACATTTATCAAACGTTATTCTCTCCATCAATGTAATACGACCAACTTAAACTACAATCCAAGATTTGTGAAATTCTCAAACCACATTATGCCACATCATTCACCCTCGGTTGTTCTTTTAATATATGTATTGATGATTGATGATATTAGAATACTAAAGGGGTGTTTGGGATTGCTTATAAAAACAACTTATTGACTTATTCCTAAGTGACACTGATAATAAACATTTTTGGGTGTTTGGATAAACGGGTCATACATGTGCCAAACCAGTAATAAGAAGTTTTTGAAGAAGTTAAACCATTTTAACTTGTAATAAGTTGATATGGACTTTTGTAGAAAAGTATAAGTTGTTTTAAATAAGCAATCCCAAACATCCCCTAAATTCTTATGATATCACATGATTGGTTAGGGTTCTTTCTTTATAATATAAAACATTATATTATAATGAAAGAACCCTAATGAGTCAACTTTATATTTTTAAATAAATGTTTTTTGGAAAAATATGATGGCTAAAAGTTACATTTAACCAACCCAAACATTTCACATTTCAGTTCATCATCCCTTTTTTTATATACTGACTAACATTTATTAAACATTCTTCTCTCCATCAACGTGGGACAACCAACTTAAACTATAATCCAAGATTTGAGAAATTCTCAAACCACATTATGCCACATCATTCACCATTGGGTTTTCTTTATATATATATATATATATATATATATATATATATATATATATATATATATATATATATATATATCGATTACGAATGCATTTCTTAATTAAATTCATAGATCTATCTTTATTAAGGGCAGATACGTTTAAGAATCTTAACTATTTTAAGAACCATGAACCATTTATTTTGTATAGTATTAATAATGAATAACATGATAAATATTTATGATGAATGACATTCATTATTATTCATAATGAATATCATATAAAATAGGTGGTGACTAGGTTCTCGAATATTGGTTGTTTCAAAATAAACCTCCCGCATCTTTACTATATAGATACAATAATGAAAGTATCCATGAATTTTTATGTAGTTAGGGGTTATTTGTTTACATCTTAATAAGATGCAGCATTTGAATCGTTAAGAGTTGAATCTTGTTTAGCAAAAAAAAAAAAAGTCTTCATCTTAATGGTTCTAAAACCCTCTGAATGATTTTGTATCATGGGTTTCTCTTAACCATTAAGCGCCCTAATTTCAATTGTAAATAATTACCAAACAATTAACTTTCATTTTACACTATATCATGAGAGTCTCTTAATCATTTTGTACCAAACCATTTAGCAACTGTCAAACAGCCCCTTAGTTATTTATGAAGTTGAGCCTCTCATTTCATCCTTTTCAATGTAACAACAAAACATGATGAGGTATAAAAAAGCTCGAGTCTGAATTCCGAAGCCTTATAATCTCATTTTTTTATGTGGAGACTTATTTATACAAGTCAAACACAACACAAATTAATCATGAGCTTCACTTTGAGGGTTATAATCATGAGGTTCATTTGGGAGCATATCGAATCAGTAGATTATCTGTTTTTACAAACACATAATAAATTGAAAGAAACGTTTGAGTCAAAGAAACAACAAGACAATCTAATACTTGATTGAATCATCTCTCCTCGCCACCACCAACTTATTCCACCTACCATTGTAACCAACTCGAACGACATATTAGGAAAATTACGAAAATACCCATAGCATTTCCATGCTAGTTCTTTTTATGTCGTGCATATGTCTGTAAGTTTCTAGACTCGTCACATTGTTAGGGACATTTACTAGGCGCTCACCTTAACAGGTAAGCACTTACCTTACCGTATGAGAATGACAAGGACTGAGAATCTTATTCAGTAAGAGGCATAACAAAGATCAATAATCTTATCCGGTAAGTGAGAGAGAAGACTACTATCTAGTTAGCGCTTTCTGCAATAGTGAATGGATTCTTGAGGAGGTTTGCATTCCTCTCTTCAATATATACACGATTACAAGCATATGATGAAAGAGAAGAGGTAGGAAAATTAGGATTGCTCTGATACCATGTAAAATAATGAATGAATCCCTGAGGAGGTTTATATTCTTCTCCTCAATATATACACGATTACAAACAGATTATGGCATAGGATAAATACCATATTATTTACGGGATAATTACCTAAATCAAAGATACACTGATATATATCTATATGTTTGTACACTAACACACTTACCTAGGTAAAAGACGCTTGTCGACAACTTATTTTGATGGTCGAGAATGTCACTCGATAAAGCAAGTGACATTACTGATTCTTACCGATAAGCGTTTGATAAACGGCCACTGCGTATCATATCAACGACTTCACTTGGATCATGTCAACAAATGGACATGTAAGTTTTGGAAATAAACTTGGTGGTCTTAAAACATCTAACAACTATGAAATGTTTCTACTTTATTTTTACATATTCTTCATTTTGGTTGGTTTTTGAGCATAGCCGGACCTCGTTAAGTGCCATGGGTGGCACGTGCCACCGTATCGTTTTTCCACCGAAGGGTAAAAAAATTAGGTTTCGTGAACGGTTCAACCGTATTAATTTGTTGTGTGCTACCTTATGTATTTTGAAACTAAAATGAGAACAAGTTTTATTTGGTAGAGTTAGTTTGCAAGACTTTTATTCCACCTCACACCTAAGTCCAAATCATGTTAGTGTCATTTTCTTAATCAAACGGTGTCACCATTTGAAAAAAATTCCGTATATATGTTTCTTATAGTCAAACGGTGCCACCGTTTGAAAAAAAATTCGTATATTTGTTTCTTATAATCAAACGGTGTTACTGTTTGAAAAAAAATTCTTATATTTTTTTAATGGTCAAATGGTGCCACCGTTTAATTTTTTTTTTAAGGTCTGTCCTTGTTTTTGAGTTGCATGGTTTTTAAACCACTTGGCCATGAATAGATTTCTTTTTAGCCTTTTTGTAGTTGGTTTAATTGGTTAATATGGCTTAGGGGACATGTAAGGAGTCTTCGCTTCTTGGATTATTCCATATAGTCATTTTGGCTTAACGGCTTAATGATCAAGCCATAGAAAAACACTACTGTATGGGTGAGAGAATAAGTTACGCGTACCATTAAGTTTATTAAATTGTAAGTAAAATGAACTCTTTTTAGGGGCTGTTTACCAAATCTTATCGGGTAAGTGCTGTTCGGGTAAGAGTGCTGACCCGGGTAAGTGCTATCCCGGTAAGTGATGTCCCGGGTAAAATTGTTTACCAAATGTTTTTGGTAAGTACTTACCAAAAATATAATGACTATTATAACCCTAAATGTAATTATATATTGAATAATATATGAATATTTTTGTTACCAATAGTTTAATGGAAAAAAAAATTGCATATTTTAAATAAATGCTTACCAATAAAAATAATATTATTTTACTTCTTTTCATATGTTATCTGTCAAATAAAACAACAAAATATAATTTTCATACTTCAAATTAAACAGAAAAATATATTAATAGTCGTTCATACTTAAATACAAACGGAATATGAAACGTTAATACCAAAAGAAATTGCATCGGATTCCCAATACATTATTATTATTATAATACAATATGAATGCATTTGCATTTGCATATGTTTGCCACTTTACGTATAATATATATATATATATATATATATATAAAGTAGATTCCACCTAGGCTAGGTACAATTTTTTAGACCTCCTATTGTCCCATCTCTCTCTACCTGCAGACTATGGTTCCATACTTCCATTGCCTACACCTCCTTTTTCCCTAGTGTAATCATTTCCCTAATGCTACATACTTTTTCAAATGCCCACCATCTTTTCTTCATATAGGGTTTTCTGCAKATTATGGTTCCATTGCCATGGTGATGCAGAGGAGAAGACAGAGAAAAGAAAATACAAAAATGGCATCGATTACCAGAAAAAAAAAGAGAAAAGATGGAGGGATGAAAGGCGAGCGACTATGAGAGAAGGTGAGGAGCGTCGAGAGTCTGGAGAGACAGGGAGGAGGAAGGAACGATAGGGAAGAGGGGAGGAGCGACTGGAATGGAACGATGGGGGAGAGGAGAGGAGCAACAAGAATGAGATGAAAACTTGTGTGAAAGGGGCAAGCACGGAAAGAAGAAATCTGACTCGGGTAAGCAACATTTTCGTGCGGTCTCAGTCAGCACTCGGTCAGCGTCTCGGTCAGTGTCTGGTCAAAGAAGTAATTCGGTAAACAAACTGACTGCTGACCGAGTCAGCATTGTTGACCGGTCAGCATTGTTGACCGGTCAGCGCCGAGTAAACAGCCCCTTATAGTTGTTTATGCCACATTTGGCAAATGTAATCATTTTGTGTTTTATAGCGTTTTAAAAAAGGTACAAATCAAATACAAATGGTATTTGTCAACAAAGATTCATAAATTTATATATATATATATATATATATATATATATATATATACATCTTATTACCGAATTTGTTCCTCTAATCGTTATACGTTATTTCGATCAACCAAAACACTCTTGAATATATTTGTATATGCTTCTTAACTGACATTAATATCGATCTTAACGAGTTGATTTGGGATTTCCCAATCAAATTCGTAACAATCAACTTTCACCTTTTTGTTATCGGTTTCTTTATCTGATTAGAAGCTAACAATTTCCAACATAACAAAAACTCACGTCATTCCACCAATTCATGCTAATTTAGCGAACTAATGAATCCAGATTTCTCAATCAAATCCGTCGTAATATTCATAACAACAACTTTACGAAAAACCCGAACCCCAATTTATTGTGTCCTCTCTACCAATAATGCCTATACCCCTACTACATAATAAGAATGAAAAAAAGTGTATTTTTAGACATAGGTATTACGGTAATACGTTTGCTAACCTTGCGGTAGATATGGTCATCGATGGATTCTCACAATGTAACTTCTGCAAGAAAAGATAAATGGTTACAGTTACAGCTACAGTTATGATTACAGTAGAAAACTACTTATATTTTGATACATATACTCACTTGCTTTGCTGGATCGATTAGCAGATAGATATGCGTAAAGAATTGCCAATATAACGACAAGAATAGCAATCTGTATATATAGAGATCATGGAATATTGTTAGAAGACGGATTTGATTGAATGAAAAGGGAAATTTAGGAGGAAAAAAATTTGTATTCTCACCATAGCTGGACCGTAGTTTGGCAAGTCGTCGGCTATGTACGATTTCCTGACAACATGAAATTCATAATTTTAAATTGGGATGTTGGCTCAGTATAAAGCCAAACCAAATAAACCCAGTAAATCCATGTAGATACAAGATCCAGTGGTAGGATTACATTTTTCTCTTGTTAGCAACCATTAGATATTAATTAGAGCAAATTACGATATTCATCCTTGTGGTTTAGAAATTCGATTTTCATCCCTATGATTTACAATTTATTGTTATTTTCGTCTCTGAGCTAATTCCTACTTGTAAGTACAAGGGACCAAAAAGTAAATAATTGTAAACCGCAAGAACCGAATACAATGATAGATTGTAAATCATAACGACGAGAATAAAATATTACAAACTATAGGGACGAAAATCACAGTTTTTGAAACACAATAAAAAAATCATAATTTTTAACAAACCACGGGACGAAAAATGTAATTTACTTAATTAATTATAACACTTATTTTGGTTCAACATTCCCTTTATCTTGTCATTCAAATATATATGACTAGAGAAAAAGTTCCTTTAAGAACCGTAAATATTTTGAAAACCAACAATTCATGATAAATGTACATAATATACTTCTCCCATCTGAAATAAATGTTCACGTTTTTATTTTAGTTTGTCCCAAAATAAGCCTCTATTTCAAAGGTAGATGTCTACTTTTCCATTCTACCCGTACTTATGATATGAAAAAAATTTATCTCTCTATTATTAATGGTAAAAGTGTCATTTAGTTAACTAAAAGTGTACATTTTTCATCGTAGATATTTATCTTGGGATGAATGAAGTACTTAAATATTAATTCATGATATTCATTATGAATAATTTTGTTTTCAAAATATTTAGTGTTCTAATTTGAACACTAAACACTTTAATTAAATGTTGTACCTTTTGTCGAGGGTGCCGGATTCCCTGCAAATTTTTTGGGCAGATTCTATGCTGGTGATTGTTACATGAGCATTTGGGTCCTTCAAATCAACCTACAGCAACAAAAACTCCCCATTAAAACCAAATAAATTTTTTCACATTTTAGCAAATTGATGAATACAATTAGTAATAATAATAATAGCAAAAGGCCTTTGGCCTAGCAATATGTGAGTCTTTGGTCTCCTTCAAACCTCATCAAAATATGAGTTTATTTGTTCTATTTACCATATACAAGTATTATATACTTCAAAATGAATAATAATAATAATACCTTGATTTTGAGCAATGAGCAAAAATCATAAAAAGCACTATAGACATCTGCCATGGTTTTAGTCCGATCGATTATTTTTGCAGTAAGACCTACAAAAGGAGACCCCTGTCTAGTCAGCAACCAAACGAACTCGGTATATTCTACTTGGAAGCAAAGCAGTTGTTTTCCTAACCATAAAAAAAGAACCTTTCTCGGACCGGTAAAGTTGTGCTCTGGCATATGTGACCCAAATCAGGTTCCATAACCAACAAAACAGAACTTGATATGCTTTCTATTGCAAAGCTGAGATACAAGTGTACAATGAAAACCTACAGGCTAAGGAAAAAACCTAAAATAGGTACAACTAAAAAGGAAAAACGTTAATAGTTTCCTAATAAATCAAACGAACTCAATATATTCCATTCGAAAGCGGTTTGGAAGAGGTTGGATGTACGCGGAGCTGTCGTTTGTCCCAAATGATAGAGCGGTTGTTTCAGTGAAGACCTCCCTCTCGTGCAAATATGAGTGAAAAAAGAATACAAATGAGGATGTGATTGTGTGTCATGCTTACTTGGTGCAAGAAATGAAAATGAGACCCACAAAGTAAATATGGAAAATGGAGAATAATGGTATAGGCAAACGGATGCTCAATTGTCGTAATTACCAACAAACTAAATGACACAGGGTTGAGCAACAAACTAGATGAAAATAAACACACATTCAAAAGGTTTGTTTCCTATTGGTCACCGGTTTGAGTCCCACAAGATCGTTGGAGGTTTTTTGACTGTTAATTTCAGGTCCTTATGGGATAAGTTGAGATGAACAGGAACTGGCTTTGACACCCAAAGTTATCAAAAAAGACATTGAAAAAGTACAATAATAAATGTAATCTTACCACGTCTCAATTTCACTACACCTCTAAAAACTTCAATGTTGTTGTAGCATAAAGATAGTGTTCCAATTGCCATGATCTGATACAATATCACTCTAATTCAGTACAAGGTCCAAATGAATTATTTATGAAGAATGTTGTGATATATATTCAATTATCCATGAATGAATATCATGAATAATGAAAATGATTGATATTCATGATGGATAATATTTATGAATATTTAGGTATATTCATTGTGAATAGTATTGGATGTTTAAGAGGAAAACGTTGAAGGCATACCTGTGGTATAGCACAAAACTTGAAGATTGCTGGATCATGTAATTCGGACAAATACTTTAAAGAATCTTCGATATGCGCTAAAGCATTTGTCACCATATCATTCAGGCACTGAACAGCCTTCTCTGAGTTCTTTTCATATTTCAAGTCCTGAGGCAACATAACATATCATGAAGAACTAATTAGATGGAAGTTCCAACTTCAAAAAGGTTCCTCCCTCCGTCCCAACAAAATGATTGTCCCCAATGAAAAAGGCACACAAATTTTGAAATGGGTAATTATTACTTTTTAATTAACTAAATCACAATTATACCCATTATTGAGGAATCATGAATTTCTCCATCTCATAGTTAAGGATAGAACTGGAAAGAATACACTTTTAAAAGTTGAAATTTATTTTGGGACAGAAGGAGTACAAGAGAACTCTGCCAACACGTGAGGATAAACTTTTAACTTGGTAACATCAGATTTTTGGTCAAGCAAATGGAAAGATATACCTCTAGTTTATTCACATATTTACCCCAAATCTCTTGAGGCCAATACATACGTGCCTTGGGTATTTCATTTATGTCCTCAAGATAATCTCTAATGATGTTTGTTTTCTGCAACATGATATCAGTTGTTGAATTTGAGTTCCAATTGTTGTAGAAAAAGTGTCTTGAAATGCACCATGATGTATTCAAGTGAAACGAATATTACCTGGAGAAATATGCCCATTGAATTGGAGATGGAATCAGGAAGCAAAGTTTCTTTACCGGAGGCATGAAAGAGTTTCGACAGTCCTAATCCAACATGTCCCGCAACATAATGGCAATACTCTTCATAGTCATCAACTGTCTCAACCTGCAAGCCCCAAATAAACTCTCTAACTTCTTTTCTAACAACAAAAAGAGAGATCTTGACTAAAGCGGGATTTCAGAATGATGCCTGGATGTTAGACCTTGTGGACAACCAAGTTCTACAATATCTTAATAAGCTCTTTTGATACTAGTTGTGTACTCGTGCAAGGATGTAAAATTTACTTTAAACCAGGAATGAAAAAATAATTCAATTCCTCGTTAAAGAATAAAATCCGAAATTTATGTTTGAACATAAACGGCTAAAACCAAATCAAACCAAACGGACGCAGTATATTCCACTCGAAAATAGGGACTCGGAGGCGCAGGCTTTACCTCAACCACCAGAATGCTGAAATATTTTGACTTTTTTTTAAACAACATTCCCCCAGAGTGAATTTATTATGTGAAAAGTAATTACAATCACCTGGATTAATCTCTCAAGCCACCCCCAATTACACTCACACTCCAAAGATTTAACTCACATTTCTAGAGTCTATATAACAAGAGAATGAGAAAAGATGATCAAATACTAAAAGTGCATTTCATAGGGGCTTTGAGACCAAAGTCTTGGACTCTTTTTAAAGGCATGGAGCGCGCTCCACCTCTTTTAGCTCCACCTATTTGTGACATGCTTTCACCCGTAAAATTCTTTATAGACCATGACCTTTAATGCATTAGTGATTCGTACTTAATGCTTTATATAGACTAATAGACGTATTCTTGAAATTTAAGAGTTTTTAGGCATTTACATAAATCCCCTGTAAGATTGTATAGATGAAGGGAGGAAAGCAACAACATACAAAAAAAAGATCTTTAAAGAAGAATATGTGCATGACCATGCACACGCATAGAGTGAAAAAAGGCATGAAGTAAAGAAATAAAGGGAAGAGCCTTGTTTTTCTTTTTGACAATACACAATAGGCAATTAAAGAAACATACCACATTTGAGGCTCATGTACACTGATATCCTCAATAGGGATAGTGAAATTCACAATGGTACTTGGAGCAATAATAATGTGTACCTCTTTGCATATAAATTTTGCCATTCCTGCACCCATTTTCATGGTAATATCCTCAATTGCCTCCTGATAACTACAGAATAGTTGGAAAGTTGTAAATCATCATTTAGGACACTCGAAAAATACATCCATAGCCCATATTTAGATACATATGAATACTTCAATAAGTACATGTATTCATGAGTCTCAATCTGATTAGCTGATCTCACAATCTTCAGAAATTAATTAACATGGAAAAAAGATAAATTTAGTTGTCAAGCATAGGTAAATCTTGCCAAGAGTTATAGATTCAAACAACTGTTTCAAGCATTTATTTTTCTTATATCTAAGCATTTCAAGTATGACCACAATAAAGCTAGTTGCAGTAAACATTACCGGTAGCACCAAAGCAGCAATGGCAAAAACAACATCAAATTATAAAATAAAAATCATTTAGAGCAGGATTTATAATGTGATTGATGTTTAGAACAAAATTCCCAGTTGATATTTTCTAATGCCAGTCACCTGGCAATTGGCAAACCTATAAGGGGTTATCTAGCTAAATGATCTTTGGCAGGTTTCTGGGCATTCTTGTGTATGGAAGTTTCTCAAACCTGGCAGAAGGTCATGTATTTGAAAACTCTTTTTCTATCATGTGAAATTAGACCACCAGAGTTCCACCATCACTATTAAAACATATCATAAACAAATGTTGGTTTCACCTGCTTGTCAAGTACATATTGACCTCCAAAATTAATAATAGCAGACTCTTTGCAAACACTAGATAAATGATATGAGAAATGTCATGTATGTACATTTTATTGCGTGTTTTTATTTAAAAGTCCTATTGCATAGAATATTCTGCCTCACATTTGATAGTAAGTCAGCTAGAACCATGATGAGAAACATATCATTCATACTTTTAGTTACGTTGATTATTGATCCACCAACTATACACTATAAGATAACTAACAGTTCACAATCGATAGATACATGTAAAAACAACCTTCCATTAAGCTCCAAAAAGGCAGTAGAAACATGATGGAACTGATCCATCAGAATTTTGTATTCCTTTGTACCGCCTTCAGCCAAAAAGAAACAACTAGAATCAGCAAGTAAATCATATATGATGCACACTAATGGAGCTGTAAGCATAGCAGGCAATGGATCCAGTACTCACATGCGAAATGCCAGTCAGGATCATAGATATGGCTATGGAATTCCATCAAAATTGGTATCTTAACCATAGTATCTATGCTTGTATCATCCTCTGGGAACAAAGAAAGACAACAAATTGTGTACATCAGGTGCATACTACTTCAAAAACTGAATTTAAGAATCCAACCCTCTAGTGCATTTCTAAGTTTTTACGAGAGCAGTCTGTTAGGGGCAGACTGTTTTAAACTATGGGCAAGTCAGATGAAGATCATTAAAGGTCTTAGTGCCTACCTACTTCGTACAAAAGTCAAAAACTACAAGTGATGTGAAAGAATAGACCCTACACACGAGGTAAAAGAACATACCGACAGTGTCAAGAGCTCGAAGAACCAAATAAAAAATGCATACCTGCATCAGGAGCATGTTGAAAAAAGAGAATGAGGAGTGATTTCCGGCATTAATTGTATTAGCAAACAGCAGAACATAAAGGTTTCACTAAAGAGCATTGCAAATCTATCTTGTAGGTGAAGAAAGATTATGTGTAAATGATAATTGTAATACATCTACGTATATATGATATGACACATTGTTTATTCTACTTCTGTGTGTGCTTGAGTTTTACTTCAGATGTTGTGCCTGTTTGAATTTGTTGATGCAAGGATTGTTGTTTAGCATGTTTGCCTTTCTTTTTCTCATTTGAGGCTTTTGAGCAATAGAGGTGGTTATCAAACATTTAAAAATCTGAAGAATTCCATTATACACAGATAATCATAAGATAATATCATCAACTCGCTTATGCATGTTAGGTTTAGACCCTAAGAGCTAAGATGCGGAATCGCTAGCTTGAAATGATGAACATACACATAACCATAGTCGGGTCTATTTTAAGGATAGAATTAGTTTTTCGCTTAAAAAATCTGTCGGGCCACATAACTGAAAAGCTAATCCTATCAACAGACAAGAGAAAGCTTATGCATGTGTTCATCGCTTCAAGCTAGCATTATTCCACATCTTAGCTTTGAGGGTCTAAACCGAACAAGGATAGGACGCTAGTTCAAGTCTCATCAGGGCCACAGAGGATTTTCTTTATCTTCGACCCATGATATTAGTCGACGTGTGCGCAAGCGAGCCGGACACCCATAGTTTAAAAAAAAAAAAAACCTAACATGCATAGGCTAGTTATATATACGTAGATGCGTGCAACAATTACAATTATAATATTACATTAACTGCATTCACGATCCACAAAACTGAAAAACTCTTGATGAAAAATGGAAAGTCGATGCATCTTAACATTGCAGGAATATATTGAATTCATGCATTCGCAAACCATAACATAGAATTCTTTTTGTAAGAAATTTTGAAATGCATGCATAATGTATAGGTAGATTCGATCGTCAAATTCACAATTCAAATTAATTAAAGCATTCACGATCCGTAAAATCAAAACAGAAACGAAAAAAAAAAAACAATTGATACATCGGATTCATCATTCACACGTTGATACATTCACAATCCCCAAAATTCCAAAGAAGAATTGAAACAAAACGCATATTTAGCGAATTGAATGAAACAAAACAACAAACGAAAGATGATGGCGTTTATTGAATGAATCAAAAACTTACAGCGTCACGAAGCTCTGAGCCAAGCTGTTGGATAACGAGAGCGAAACTTCTAGAAACTTTATGAAGCATTGTATAACAGAATCCCCAGTGTGGCGACGTCGGGATCTGTTTCTCCGCCTGCTTGGCCGCCATCTTGAGCTTCAACAATGGATAAATATCATCCGGATGCTTTAACATCGCCTGTAAACCTTGTAAACTCCCCATTGTTTGATGAATCAATCAAAACCAAAACCAAAACCAAAACCAAAACCAAATCGAAATTTGCAGATCGTAAGAACAAAAATGTGAAATGAAGAATGAGTTTGTTGGTGTTGATTGGGAAGGGGATTCTGCCTATAATGATGGTGGGGAGAAAGGCATTCTCGCTACGTTTATTGCTTTAATACACACGTACGTAATATTACAACAAATAACCGTAAGTTTTTTTTTAAATAAATTAGAAGGTAGTCATGCAATGCAGCGGGATATATTTCGATTTTAATGTTTTATTTTATTTTGTCTCTATCGATGTTATAATATGATTTTATATGTTTTTAAGAAAGTAATAATGATTTTATTTTTGAATAAAATATAAACATGAAGATATTATAAATATTTGAAAAAAAATATATCAATGTTAATATCAAATCAACTATTTAAAATGTCTTATTTTTTATGTAATTTCTTTAAAATTTTTTTATTATAATTTAATTTAGGTTTAATAATGTAATAATTTATTTTTGGTTTAATAATATAACATTTTATAAAGATAATAATTAAGTATTTTGTTAGAATTCAATGATTATCCTCATTATATTTTATATTTTTTATATTTAAGTTGTAGTTACGCACAATCTACTTGTAATCTTGAGTTTTAAGTAACATGCATTAATAAACAACACTTTATGCATAAAAATGGTTTTTAAGAGTTTTTGTCAAATGTTTTATAATATAGTATAGATTAATATTCCATTAGTCCCAAAATAAATTATAAATTATATTCAAATAGAACAAATAAACTAATACATTATCTTCATCTTTGATGAAGTTTGAAACTTTGACCTCTTAGAAGGCTAATGACTCGCATACCGTTAGGCTAAATACCCTTTGGTTTAAATGACAATTTTACCTGTAATTAATATAAATATCTTGTAGATTTAAATTTTTTAGTTATCTGATTTTTCTAAGTGGATACTTATTTAGTGATGATGGGAGTATTAAATGATACTAGAATGATACTCGCGCAATGTAGTGAGATATATCTCGATTTTTTTTATTTTATTCATTTTCTCTGTCGATATAATATGATTTTACGTGGTTTTAGAAGATGATAATATTTTTATTTTTGTACGAAACATAAATTTGAAAAAATTTATTGATATTAATGTTAAATTAACTATCTAAAAGTTCTCGTTTTCTGTGTAATTTATTTAATTCATTTTTTTATTGTCATTTAATTTAGATTTAATAATAAAGTAAATTATTTTTGTTTGATGATATAATTTTTATAAGGATGATAATTAAATATTATGTTAAAACTCAATGATTATCATAATTATATTTTAGTTTTTTATATTTAAAATGAGATATTTATCATGTACTTGATTATGTTTATCTGCAATTAGTTACACGAATTCAGTTATGGAGCTTTAATAAGTTTTACTTAAGCACAATCTACTTGTGATCTTGAACTTTAAGTAACATGCATCAATAAACAGTACTTTATGCATAAAAAATGACTTTCATGAGTTTTTGTCAAATGCTTTATAATATAGTATAGATAGTTGATGTAATAGTGAATTACATTTCTGTCCCTATGGTTTGTTGTTTGTTTGACTAAGGGGTCGTTTATCAAACACTTACATGTTAATTGCTTATCGGTAAAATTTAATACTATTATGTACTTACCGGGTAAGATTATAGTCCACCAAAACGACATAGTATACAATAATTTACCCGGTAAGCGCTTAGCGTGGTAAGAGTCGTCGCCCTCACTTACCGGGTAAGACTCTTGGTCGTTGTCTCGCTCGTACCGGGTAAGATTCTTGGTCCTTACTACATTCATCCGGTGAGGTAATGTTACTTGGTAAGCGCTTATCGGATAAGCGTTTGGTAAACGGCCCCAAGGTCCTTCAAACGTATTAATTACGCCTTCCATACTTCTGGTTTGTGTGATTATCATATTTGATCCTCTTTGAAATCGACCATAAATACAAGTGGCAATCTCCTCATTCAAAGGGGGCCAACTGCAAATTTCTCAAGAGAACACAACAATCCGCGGTTAATTACATACGAGGGGTGAAAATACCATTATGGGGTTGCAACCATGTGAACACTTGATAATAGATTTCGAAATATCCTTCATGTTTCGATTGTAATTCAGTTTTTTGTCATACGGTATAGATTTTGGCTTTGAATTCAACAAACTGTTCATGTATCGTACTTTAATCTTTCAAAGTAATTTGTCTACAAAGTGTATTCACGACTCTACATATTTTTCAGTTATATTGGTACAGTTTCGGACTAACAGTTGATATCATAGCGGTTCGATTAGTTTATAATCAATATGCTAATGGACAATAGTAATTAACACCGGTTCACTGAACAAATCCCATACTTTTGGTGATGGATGATTTTCCCCTCTGGAAAAAAAGAGGATGATTGCATTTTTGGAAGGAACTATTCAAATCCAACCAAAACGCCTGCATCTGAGGTGTTCTTGTAACTGCAGACACTCTTAGAGGGTGTTTGAGATTGCTTATAAAAATATCTTATTGACTTATTCTGGTGCAACACCGAGAATAAGCATTTTTGAGTGTTTGGATAAACAATTTATACCGGTGCCAAAGAGGAATCAAGATATCCGAATAAAGGAGATCTGAATCTACTTTGCAAGTGTGAATCGACAAGATAACAAAGACGAGGTCCACAAGATACTTACATTGAGTCGATAAAGAATCAAGCAACAACTGTAGAAGAGAGCCTCAAGGGCAATCATGGAATAACACGTTGCTACTGAACGATATGACGCTGACCTAGATGAAGAACCGTTCAAATAGGGAGGGAGGGATTCAGAKCCTTCCAATTTCTTTAGAAGTAGGCTAAATACACCCCATATGTATTGCTAAATACACCACTATTTAGTAATTTTCTTCTCGTACACATCTATAATATATTATAAATCATTTGATAAAAACCCTTAAAAATCATTTTTCATGCACGAAGTATTGTTTATTGATGTATATTACTTAAAATTCAAGATTACAAGTAAATTATGCGTAAGTACAACTTATTAAAGCTCAATGATTTTTATGTGTAACTAACTGTAGAAAAACATAATCAAATACAAGATAAACATCTCATTTTAAATATAAAAAATCTAAAATATAATTAGAATAATCATTGAGTTCTAACAGAATACTTAATTATTATCTTTATAAAAACTTATATTATTAAACCTAAATTAAATTACTTCGTTACATTAAATTAAATTATAATAAAATTTTTGAATTAAAGAAATTACACAAAACAAAATTTTTTAAATGATTAATTTGATACTAATATCGATATAGTTTTTTTTTCAAATTTTTATTATATTTTATTCAAAAATAAAAACATTATCGTTTTCTCAAAATCAGATAAAACATATTATATCGACATAGATAAAAAAAAAAAAAAAACGAAACGTTGAAATCTGGATGTGTCTCGATGCATTGCACGAGTACCCTTCTAGTCAACAGTAAAACTCAGTTTACGTTCCTATACGAGTGAATAAGTTCTGGAAGAAAAGGTTCGAGATGCATGTAATAACACGAACTTCAAAGATCGCTTCAATTACTTTAAATTGTCCAAAATAAAACCTTCGTGGTCCCTAAAGACCTCAAGTCCGACAAAACTGAATTCGACGATTACAAGAATAAATGACGACTGAAAAGGTTCAGACTGTTTGTTTTTTCCAATGTTTCAGAGGACACTTATATCTTATTGTCTACTTATCTGGTAAGAGGTAAACCAACCTCTTATTGTTCTCGAAACCTCTAGCAACGACGGTTCTCAATCGATTAAACCTTAATCAATTATTTCTCTCAATTGGTCATTACCAAATTGATCCTCACATCTCTCAATTGGTGTATATTAATATGATTTATGTGAAATTGTATAAATTTATCTATAACTTCAACTTTATGATTTTCTAATCAGTAAAATAGATAATTTAAACAAATTCAGACAGTAACCAGTCTACAAAAGCAAACAATCTTATTGATTCAGATTTTAGACGTCAGCACCACCTTTTTATTAATCAGAAGTGAAATAAGACTCCAGATTTCAGCACCTATTAAAAAACAAACACCACCTTGTTATACTTCAAAACACCATACGATCATTTTCATTAAGCGACCGGCAAACAAATTTTCCCACAGAATTGTGAATTAAGGATTCGTGTTTTTATTTTGATTGTAATCAGATAGAAGGAGAGAAATTTTTTACCCCCGTAAAATCTTTTGGAGGATATTAATGAACGAAGTATTCTGTATTTCAAATAAAAAAAAGTCAGTTATGAATAAACAGTTAAATTCACAAGTAGAAATGTTTCAGATAGATGATCATAACACAACTATTTTGTTCAAGAAGTTCTCTTAACTTCTCTCAAATACATACGTATGTAATTGAATATCTGAAAAACAACGGATTTTTATTAATCAGTTTAAAAACATAAAAAATAACATAAAGTGGACGGGTTTTTTAAATTAGTTAACCAGTCTAGGAGGATTCCCCGCTACCAAAGACAAACCATTTAACACCAATAGTGTCAAATTTGTACTGATAAGGGGGAAAACAATAGTAATGTTGCTCATCTCAAACTGTTGTGTACACATGTCGATGAAGGTCAAAGCAGCACTCAACTTAACGTTTTTATCCAATGGATCAACAATTGGCTCACCAGGGTGGTCTAACGTCTCATTTAGAGTAACAACGGCGGTATCACAGTACAACACACATTCTTGCCACAAATTCTTTTCTACACCAGGTGGTTTCGTGGCTTCAATCCTCTTCGTCTTTTTCAGGACCAAGATTGCATCATCCATGGTTGATGCTACTGTCATCTTTAGGAACTGGTTTTTCGGGAAGGTCTCGGAGGAGTTATGAACTCTGGTCGCCACAAAATCGTGGCATGTTTTAGGGTGTGGCATTTGGCTGCACCAATAATTTATGTCGCCGAAGATGGCAGGTTTTGATGAGCAAAGAAAGACGAAGCATATTAAGATGAGAGCAAGCTTCATAACTACTTCTGATCGACTTATTATATGATCAGTACCTATTTATATACTGTTTTTTAGTATGAAATTATCGTTAATTAATTTTTAATGAAATTAGAAAATTAAAAATGGTAATAAATTAATTTAAAAGTGGTAATAAATTAATTTAATGTGTGTAGGAAAAGATAATCACAAAACTTAATAGATGGATAACTAATTAATTTCATTTTTTTAATAAAAAAACAATAAGGGCTTGTTTGTTTTTTGAAAAAAACCACTTAATGCCTCTTAAGTCTAAACCAGTCAGACGTTTTTATTTTCAGATCGTTTGTTTTTTTTATATATAAATAAGAGCTGAAAAGCTCTTAATTTGCTCTGAAAAAAAAGTGATAACATAATCACTTAAAACCTCTTAATCGCTCCCTCCAGACTCTCCCCTCTATCCTCACCTCCAGATTTTGTCCTCCAAATCTATCTCGCAAGACATTCGATCTCCAAATC